TGTCTCTCTCTGTCCAAGAAATAAATAAAATCTTAAAAAAAAAAAAAAAGAAATCAATTGGCTGTAAACGTATGGGTGCTATTCAGAGGATGTTGTGCCAGAATGTAAATCAAGGAACTAGGAAAAGAAACAAGTCAGCTTGGTTAGTTAATTGATTTATGTCCTGGAACAAGCTTCTTATCTCCTTCTGGGCTGGTAACAGTTTACTAACCAGCACATATTTGTGGGCCACATTTTGAGTAGCGCTGCTCTAGATCTTTGCTACTTTAAATGCCACTGAGGAGCAACATCCTGGGCCCTTTCCTAGAGCTACTGGATTAGAATCTGCTTTTAAACAGGATCCCCAGGTGGTTCATATGCCTATTAAAGTTTGAGCAGCACTGTTCTAAATCAGATTTTAGATGACTTTAAAGATCTGTTCAGTAAGTACAGGATTAATTAATGAGTAAGACTCAGGAAAGGGAGAGTCAATGTGAGTATGGGAAGGAGAGTAGTATTTGAGACTTCTTACGTTGCAGAAGCTTAGATACCTTGGCCCTCATTGAACACCAGGGCCAGCCTAGATCTCACAGTGTTTCTTTTCATTGCTGTACTGGACTTGATGTTTTACTGTGCCTGTGAACTCCTTGTGAAGAGAGTTATAACGGAAATTCAGAGTAACTGAGGGGAAAAGGAGCAAAGAAAAGTAAGGCAGAAGACTTTCACAAAGCATCCAGTAGGAGAAGTAAACAAATTTCAGGCCTTAGAACTGGATTCCTTCACCTTTAAGTTAAAAAGAAGCTGAAATTTGCTTAAAAGGGTCTGTGGAACCCTGGTGTGATCCCAGAAATAAGCAGCAATAGTGATGAGTCATAAAAGCAGAAAACATTGAATATTTGAATGGAGGGTCAAAGCAGGTAAATTATCTCTTTGGAAACTTAATCTGTGTAAATGCAAGCGCTATCCATACTGGAAATTGGCAGGTATCCTGCTGACATTCCAAGGAAGGGTGACCTGAGCAAATATATAGGGAAATTAGTTATATACCATACTCATTTTTACTATTGGGAGGTGACTGACATGTTATTAATATGCTCTTTAGAATGCTATCTTCTTTGTTTTCCTGAACTTATATAATAAAGGTTTTTATAGATGTACTTAGGGATTAAGTCCTCCCTTAAGGCCTCAAGATTCTTAACGAGGAATCCTCCTGCTGTAGGAATTTTGAAGATAGGGATAGAATACTGTTTTGTGCTACAAGCATCATTAATTAGGACCCCAGATAAACTTGAGATTTGTGATAACCTGTAAGATCTGGATTGAAGGCATGATTTTCAAATGGCAGCTTTTGCATGTATTTACGAAGAAAGTTTTTTAGCACTACAAACAGTTAAATATATTATTAATATTAATATTAATAAGGCAACTACAAATCATTGAAAATATCTACTTAATAAAGCAGGTCTTCTGGGGCGCCTGGGTGGCTCAGTCGTTAAGC